TGATCGTGTTCAGATCTTAAGACACTTGCTCTGGTGAAGAACATACCAGAAGGAGCAAGGATGGATGCAGTATTCCTAAGAGCCAAACGGTGGGAACAAGCCAGCAGGCCACCAACGGATGGACGGCCAGACAAAACACGGTCTGCCCACACAACAGGACTTCATTCCAACATACAGCGGGGCGAAGTACTGACACATGCTACAACTTGAATGAACCTTGAACTATGACGTTAAGTAAAAGAAGCCCATCGCAAAAGGATATAGGGTATAGTAAGACCTCATTCATAGGAAAGCCCAGAATAGGCAACTCTATAGAGACAGGCAGTCGTGGCTGCTTAGGGCTGGGGAGTGGGGGGCAGGGAGGGAGTGATAGCCAAAGAGTTTCTTTTTGACATGATGATGTTCTAAGACGGATGGTAGTGATGGTTGCACAGAACTGTGAATATATGAAAAAAACCACTGAACGGCGCACCTTAAATGGGTCACTTACATCTCAATAAAGGCTGTCTTAAAAAAAAAGGTGGAGGCCGGGCGCGGTGGCTCACGCCTGTAATCCTAGCTCTCTGGGAGGCCGAGGTGGGCAGATTGCTCAAGGTCAGGAGTTCAAAACCAGCCTGAGCAAGAGCGAGACCCCATCTCTACTATAAATAGAAAGAAATTAATTGGCCAACTAAAAATATATAAAGAAAAAATTAGCCGGGCACGGTGGCGCATGCCTGTAGTCCCAGCTACTCGGGAGGCTGAGGCAGGAGGATTGCTTGAGCCCAGGAGTTTGAGGTTGCTGTGAGCCAGGCTGATGCCACAGCTCTCTAGCCGGGGCAATAAGAGTGAGACTCTGTCTCCAAAAAAATAAAGTGGGAGCAGTGAAGAGGCTACTGCAATTTTCCAGGGAGGAGAGGGTGGTCGGCAGGCCCGGGCGATGGAAGGACAGAGAAGCTTCCGGAGCACCGCTGGGCAGGGGAGCCGGCTGTGGGGGCCAGTCAGGGCCACAGGTAGCAGGAGGCGAGGCCGGGACTGGGCTCTGCCGTCTCAACCCTATGCTCTTCCCGAGTATACGAAGTGTGGAGCTACTGGAGTTGACATTCATTTTCTCTTTAGTGTGTAGTGAAATTGTTTCAAGAATAAGAACCGGCACTCAAAGTCAGAAAGATTAAAATGTTTTCTCCTGGAGGCTTAAGAGGAGAGCTTGGGAAACAATGTCCTTTTACTAAAGAACTGCAAACAACTGGGGGGGGGGGTGCTGGAATAAATCCACACTACGGCTTCATCCGGCAGGTACTTCTAAGGCAGAATCCCTCTGGTGCTCCACGCAGCTAGTGAATCATGGCGAAGACATGATTCAGCGCCCGGGTGAGCGCCACATACATAATACCTTTCAAGAAGACATATTTTTATTGCCGTGCTTGAGGACGGCCCCTTGGAATCCAGAGCCCATCAGATCGATGGATCGGGCAGTGCGCGGGGCCCCAAGTTCACCTCCAGGGTCTCTCTCCTGAGGCCACGCCAGCACGGGCCGCAGTTCACACAGAAGTCTCTTCTAACTCTACTGCAAAGCTGAACTTGCGCGAAGTCCGGGCACGGAAATGCTGGCTCACACGCGGCATCTGAATGTCGTGCCAAGAACCCCAAAGTGAGGGGAACCTCCAGTACTTACGCTGGGTCTGTTATTCACACGGAAGTGCTTGTTGCTTGACAATTTAGATAAAAACGTTACTGCCTCTCTGCATGTGCTGCCAACTCAGGTATGAAACCACTGGAGCAGCTAATGGAGTCTTCACACATCGTATCTCGTTAAAGAAGGTCTGCCCTCCATCGCAATCACAGCGGAGCGAGCTGCGGCCACACCTGGGGGGCCGCTTGGCCTGTCTGCGCTGACCCACCAACTCACCTCTGACCAACTCCCCCATGCATTTTTTATTTTCTTAAGGGAAAAAAATATGAACTCCGTTTTCAAACAGCAAGATCCTACGTGAGCTGGGTTCCTGTTGACCCCCTTAGTCCCCGGTGGTGGGGGAAAACTGGGCAGTTACACGGAAAATTTATATCTACCTCTCACCAATAAGCTATCTACTTCTGTGAGTCCTTTAAACACCTTTAAACACTTGTCCGTGTTTCTAAAAGTAACCGAAAAAATTCCAGGACCAAGGGCATGAACGGGAAATTGATGGCTGGTGCTGAAAGATGCCACTCCGCTGCTGGGGTACTCTAACAGACCGGGCCACGGCGTTATCTGTTCGTTTCACCACCTAGCTCACCATCAACATGTGCACTTTTAATTGAAACTTAACCTTTATATCCCATATTCTGGCGTGCAGACACACACGCACAATCTCTGGAGGTGGAGGTGGCGTGAGCTTTGCCCTAAGCACCTCTGTAAAGGCATTCTACCTTTAATTGTATGTTGAGTTAATACACAAACTCTGACAAAGCGGCCTTTTCATCCCCACTCCCACACTTCAACTCCTCCTGGGCAGATTCTGGGGTGGCCAAGCAGAGCCTCTTCAAAACACTCCCCCCCCCAGTCACCTCCAAGTGCCTGTTCACCCACCTGTCCCCAGCCGGGCTGCCAATCACCGCCCAACTCTCCCAAGGAGAGAGGGGAGCAAATGTTAAAAGTCTACCCAACTCCTTTCATGGGTGACCTCTGAGAGATTTCAGCGGAGGAGCCCGGGAGAGACCGGGCAGCGTTATTAGCATGCTGAACCACGGCTCAGCCCCCTCCCCTCCCTCTTTTATGAGCCCTTGTTATATAAAATGCCACAAAGGGAAATGGAAAAACAACACACTTGCAGTTGCAGATGCAAGTTCTAATGGCCAGGCCAAACCCTGGCCGCTTAACAGATGTTTTGAGTCATTAAAAAAAAAGAAAGAAAGAAAGAAAGAAACATGTTTAAAAGGCCAAAGAACAAAAGTTTCTGTTGTTTTCTTTCTTTTCAAACACACGCTCACACACACAAAAAGATGGAGGTCCATTCGCAAGCATCCTTCTTGGCGGAGTTCAGATTTAAAGGCGAAGGCAGCCTGGAGTAGGAGGGCTCCTTCCCCAAGCTGGGGTAGCAACCTTCAGACGCGATTTTCAAATGCTCCTTTCAGCCTCATCTAAATTCCAGCACGACACATAATAAATAGCTACTCATTTACTATCACCATAAAAATTTAAACAGCCTTGAAAGAGTTGCTATAATACACAAGAAATGATCAAACGCAAGCTAGGAAGAGCCGCTCCAAATAGTAAAACTACTGCCACGCAGAAGCACACATAAAGAGACATTGTTGCAATAAGCGCTGCTGGTTATTGGATTTTTTTCCCTCTCTCTCTCTCTCTCTCTTTTAAATCTTCTACTCCGAGCATAAGAGTCAACAACTTGCCGTTTTACCCAGCGGAAAAAAAGGGCTTAGTAACCCTCAGCTATCACCCTGTGCCAGATCTGGTGGTGCTGGATTTTTTTTTTTTTTAAAGTATCCGATTTGATTCCACACAGTGATTAAACAGCTTTGTGCTCCGCGGAGAGAGGGTCTTCCAGCCCCTCCCCCTCCAAAAATGGCATCAAAGCAATCAAAATGGTAATGCGGCCGGCCCCCTCCCCCCGCGAACTCCCTCCCGGCCGCGCGCCCCTCCGGCGGGAATGGAAGCTTCCACTCGCGGACGGGGGCGCGCGGCGGCGGGCGGGGGCGCGGCTCCGCCGGGCAGGGGCTGCAGCCTCGGCCCCGGCCTCGGTCCCGCGGGCGCCCCCACCCCCGGCGTGGGCCGGCCGGGAGTGCCTTCTTCCCCCCCCCCCCCACCCCCGCAGCGCAGGCCCCTCCCCTCCCGCAGCCCCCACCCGGCCACTTTTTAACTTTAAAGACTCGAAGCGAACACCCCGCTCCCAACCCTCCCTCTCCGGGGTGGCGGGCGCGGGGTCCGCGTCTTCCCCCGCACGCAGAATTCCTCGGGGGAGCGGGCGCCCGGCCCGGCGGCCCGGGGGGCGGGGCAGGGGGGGCAGGGGGGGCGGGCGGGAGCTGTCCAAGTTTGGTGCTGACGGCGGCCGGCATTCGGCATTCCGAAGGAAGAGCGATCGATGGCCGGGGCGCGGGGCGGGGGGTGGGGGCGGGGCGGGGAGGGCGGAGACAGGGGAGGGGGGAGGGAGGGGCGCCGCCGCCCCCGCCCCCGCCCGCCCGCCGCGGAGCCCCGAGAGCGCCATTGGCTGCGCGGCTCAAAGTTCTCGGCCGGGGCGGCCTGGGGGGGGCGGCTCGGGGAGGGGGCGGGGGCTGGGGAGGGGGAGGGGCGGCGGAGGGGCGCGCGCAGGGGCGGGGGCGCGCGGCCGACCGGCCCCGGCGGCGGCATCTGTTCGTGGTGCTGAAACCGCGAGCGCTGAGCTCAGCGCAACTAAGTCACAATGGACAACTTTTCCTCTCCCGAGGGAGCCGGAAGGGGTGGGCGGCCGCGCCCCCCACAGCGAGGGGCTTCCCCCGTGTCCCCATCTGCACCCAACGCCCGGAGCCCAAAGTTGGGGCAGAAGCGGGGGGTCCCTTCCTTTTGTTCCCGGGAGCTGGCGTCAGGTTCCAAGAATAAAAAGTGAAGCTGGGGACGTGGAAGGGGGGCGAACGATTCTTCCAACCAGGTTTGCAATAGCACCCAGAAATCAATTCTGAGTAGTTCGGGGTCTAGACCCCAATCACCGCCCCCTCCACCCCGACTGTCACCCTGGCGGGGGGGGGCACCAGGCGCGAGCAATCCCCACGTTCCAAAATCGTGTCCACCACCTCAAAATGGACGCCGGCTGCTCGCCGCTGGAGGGGCGCAGCGCCCCGCGCCCGACCGCCCCGAAGGCCCCGGCCCCCAGAACCGGCCCTTTCTTCCCAGAAGAGGGGAGGGTGGACAACTTTGAGAACTGGAGACAGACCCCTCGGGAGTCTGGATGTGTGGCGCCCAGGCTGGCACTTTTTAGGGTGCCGCCAAAGTGCGAGCAACCGCGCCCCGCCCCCACTCCCGATGGGGGGCTCGGCTCCCCCGCGCTTACTTGTTTGTCGCTGAGCGCTGCGACCCGCGGCTGCCTCTCGTGGAGCTGCTTCTTGAGGTCGCCGTTCTGAGGAAACACGGAGGAGCGGACTCAGGCCGGCCGGCCGGGGGTCAGGTGCGCCCGGGCCCCGCGAGCCCAGCTCCCCGCCCGGCGCCCCGCGGGCCAGGCCGGCCGCAGCGCGCCCCAAGTTTCCCGGGCGGCGTCCCGCACGCGCGGCGGCCGGCAGAGCCGCGCGGGGCCGCTTACCTGTGGCTGCCGCCTCATCGGGGCAGCTCGCGGGGCGGGGCGGGGGCCGCGGCCACCCGGCGGCGCGCCCCGACCGTGCAAGTTTGCAGGCCGGGGTGCGTGTGCCAGTGAGTGTGAGTATGAGTGTGTGCCGGGGGAGGGGGGAGGAACAAAGAGCCAAGTAAATACGGCGAGTCCGTGTCGAGCAAAGCTCATAAATATTCAAGTCGCGTCCTAATCTCCCCAACACACACACGCGCACGCCGAACACCGCTCGGGCTCCGGCCGCCACGCCGCGGCTCCCCCGAGCAACAATCGCCCAAACTACTTTCGCAAACAGCGCAGGTTCGCACCCGGCCCGCCGGCCGGAGGGGGAGGCCGGGCGGGGGTCTATTCACACTCCTCCTCCCCGGGGCAAGCTCACGAAGGGACCCCTCCCGGCATCCCCAGTTACGCAGACCCTGCGTCGTTTAAGAGAAGACGCCAAGCTCGGGTCCCACGCGCCCTCGGCCCCCCAAACTGTGCGGTATTCACCCGGAGGGGGCGCAGGAGGAGGGGGGGTCCGTGCAAATGCATATTCCACCGCCCCCCGCCCCAGGCAGGCTCAAGCAGGGGACCCCTTCCCGGCACCCTAGCCAGGAAGACCCTGACACTAGCAGGAGAGGACATCGGGCTCTGGTCCCACGAATCCCCACACCCCCACACACGCCCCCACCCCGGCACCCCGGCATCCCGGCCCCGGCCCGCTACCTGGTGGCGCGCGAGTTCCACGGCGAGCGCCTCGGGCCGGCTCTGCAGCTCCATCCCGGCAACTTGGGCAGCACTTTGCGCTCACTTTGGCCCCGGCTCCCGGGAAGTTGTACGGCTCGGCGAGGGCCCGGCCGGGCAGGGGCGCACCGGGCCTCCGGGGAGGGGGGTCACGAGCCCCCTCCCCCACGGCCGAAAGGGAAGGGGGCTGGCGAGGGGGAAGAAAGGCTGCCGGGTGCCGCGGCGCCGAGCCCGCGGCCGCCTCAACTCCTCAGGCTGCCCGGCAAGTTGCGCCGGGTCCCCGGGCTGCCGGCGCGGCCCGGCGCATGGCCCCCCACCCGGCGCCGGGAGCCCCGCGCAGCCCCGCGCGCGCCCGCCCCGCCGCCCGCGCCAGTCGCCCGCAGGCAGGGACTATATTTTCTCCGGCGCGCGCGCCTGGATCTTGCTGGGCCTCGGCAAAGTTGTGCCTCGGCACGATGCTAATTCGGCAGTGCCCGGATGGAGCTGGCCGGGGCGGCGGGGGGCGGGGCCGGGCCCGCTGGCCGCCCCGCCTCGCCCGCGCCTGCGCACTGCCGCCCCTCCGAAGCCCCGCGCCCCGAGCGGAGAACAAAAGTGGCGGCGGAGTGGAGCGCAGAGTCGCCGGCTTGGGGCGGCCGCTCCCGGGACCGCTGGAGCCGGTGCCTGGCGTGGGGCGCGCGTCCTCCTGCTCTCCGCGCCCCCTGCCGAGCCCCGGGAAAGCGGGGCGCGCGTCCTCCTGCTCCCCGTCCCCTGCCGAACCCCGGGAAAGCGGGGCGCGCGTCCTCCTGCTCCCCGTCCCCTGCCGAACCCCGGGAAAGCGGGGCGCGCGTCCTCCTGCTCCCCGTCCCCTGCAGAACCCCGGGAAAGCGGGGCGCGCGTCCTCCTGCTCCCCGTCCCCTGCAGAACCCCGGGAAAGCGGGGCGCGCGTCCTCTTGCTCTCCGCGCCCCCTGCCGAACCCCGGGAAAGCGGGGCGCGCGTCCTCCTGCTCCCCGCGCCCTGCCGAACCCCGGGAAAGCGGGGCGCGCGTCCTCCTGCTCCCCGCGCCCTGCCGAACCCCGGGAAAGCGGGGCGCGCGTCCTCCTGCTACCCGCGCCCTGCCGAACCCCGGGAAAGCGGGGCGCGCGTCCTCCTGCTCCCCGCGCCCTGCCGAACCCCGGGAAAGCGCGCGCCCCGCTCCGCTGGGCGCCCAGTCTAACGCCGGGGTTTATGAGACTTTCCAACGGGAGGGTAGATGTCCTTTTTCCCATTTCTTCTCTGCTCTGGCTCTCGCTGCCGCCTCCTTCCCTGCCTCGCTCTTCCCACCCTCCGCCTCCCTCTCCTGTTTTATTTAAATTGCCTCCCGTCCCCTCCTGCCTGCACGCCGGCGCTGCGACTCTGCGACTTGGGAGATTAAATTAGTCGCGTCGCCAGATTCCCCCGCCGCCCGATGGCCACCGTGTTGTTTAAACAGTAAGGAAATTGATCTCCTGACTGTTTCTGTAATGATTTTTTTTTTTTAACACTCACAATTAAACTCTCGACAGATGTCACTGGACTTTTTAAGACTGTTGTTAAAAATCGTAACCATGCCCGGTCAATGTGACCTAGACAATTATAACTGCAGCTGCGGAGATCGCGTTTCAAAACTCCCAGCCCGCGCAGCCAGGAGGTTAATGTCTCGGAGTCAGTATTACCGTCGTGGAGTTTCCGTCCTCGGCAATTAATGTCAGAACGCTCCGTGCCCTATTGGCAGCGCACTGGCATGTCCGAAAGGTGCCAGCGAGAAAGGGTGCAATCGTATTTCAAAGTAAATGTTTAAACTGGCAAGTCGTTAGGACTACATCTTCCTCCCTCCCCAGCACAGAAAAAGACGGGGACATAGACAACAGGTCACACAAGTCTTCTATTGTCAGAAGTTATTGGAATTCCTTTTTTTCCAGGCAAGGACCCCCACCCCCAAGTTGTTCTGGCCTTTATTATAGGGCATTTTCCACAAAAGACTCCCGTGCTTGGCTGTTGGGCCCCCCCCCAAACACAGAGTGCCCCCCTCCCTTCCTTAACCCAGCACCTAGCCTTTCAGAAGTACTGAGTAAGTAAGCCATCACTGGGGTCACCAGTTAACTCGTGGGCTTTGTTACCCCATGCAAAACTAGCGCTTGTGTCATGATCCATTTGGTCTAGCACCAAGCAGGGAGAAGCAGTGTGCATCACATGCAAAGCAAAGAGGCTGACTCGGGGTGCCCCCAGGGGTACCGGCTCTTCCCATCCCTGGGTTTAGCCCACGTCGGGGTGGTGTCCTCCCCAACTTAATGGTTTTGCTGGGCTGGACACCGGCCTAGTAGAGTGGACTGCCCTGGGGACCAGTGTCCGGAGAACCAGAGAAAACGTGCGGGCGGGAAGAGGATTCCTGCTGTAATCTCTGTAAATGTCACTGGCTTTTTGGTAAAAATTCAGAGTAATTTCATCAGCCATGTATGGTAATTAAATCAGAGAGGCTATTCAGGTCACCCGTGACCCGCACAGACGCAGGCAGATGCTGGCCAGGGGATAGTGGCTCCTACCCTGGAGGCTTCAGGGCATTGTTTGCAAGTTTCTGCTAGCTAATTTGGGTACCTGGAGGAAAACCGAATCAGAAGTTCTGGTAAGCCGACTTAGGAAAAGGCCGTGCAGACCTGCACGTCCCTGAATCTGTCCTGCCCACCAGGCCTCCCTCCCTTTGCCTGTGCTGTGCGCTCCACCCGGAACGCCCTTTGTCTCGTCACCCACCTTTTAAAGATCCTCTTCATCCCCCAGAATTCACTTCAAATGCCTTTGCTGGGAAATTCCTCATGGAATTTGGGGATTCTCATGGGAAATGAGATAGCCCTCGTTTGTATACATGTATTCTTCATCCCTCCCTCGGGGGGCCCACCGCACGGAGCTGACTTGGCGTAGGGGCCTCTGTCCCATATAACAGCACTGTTTCCTTCCCCACTGGGGCCCACGCCTGCCTTCATCTGGCCTATGGCAGAGGACGGAATTGGTGTGTTCAAGCCAGGCCAGAGTGCCTGGAGCAGACCAAGTGCTTGATGGATGCCTGAGTGAGTGAGACTGTGAATGAACACACTCATGAATGCTGAGGAATGTGTTCCGTTTCAGGGAAGGTGGTCTATTGGTTACGGCCACGGAAATGAGCAGTCTCTACAATTCATTCCAGCGTCCACATTTCTCCTCACCTGCGCTGGGGTCGAGCAGATGGGTAGGGGTGGGGGGCTGGATCGGAGCTTAAAGATCTGAGCTTGAGACTCGAGTCCACCGTTAACAGCCCCGCCACCTTGGGCAGGTTACCCAACATCTGCTAGCCTCCGTTTCTTCAGTGGTAAGGTGGGCATGGAGCGAACCACCCACGGAGACCCCAGCACTCAGCTCCTTCTGCCCCTGGGCCTTGGCCGCTTGCTCAGTGGGCAGTCCCGGTCGCTGTCCATTGGTGGCTTGGCCTGCCTGAAGGTGAGGGCCGGCCTTCAGCCTGGCCTTGCAGCAGGTCTGCCATGGAGGACCCACAGGGGCCCCAGCACCCAGGTCCACTCCTGGCCCATGGAGGGCTCAGCTGCTCCCTCCCCTTCTGGCTCTGAGTGAAGCGTCATACCCCTGGGCACAGATCTGGCCTCCAGTGGCCGACCAAAGGCTTAGATAATACAACTCGGAAACCCAAGGGAAGGCCGATCCCTGTGGTGGCTCATGACTATAATTCCAGCACTTTGGGAGACCAAGGTGGGAGGATCTCTTGAGGCCAGGAGTTCAAGACCAGCCTGGGCAACATAGCAAGACCCCATCTCTACAAAAAATAGAAAAACTGGCCGAGCGTGGTGGTGCATGCCCGTAGTCCCAGCTACTAGGGAGGCTGAGGCAGGAGGATTGCTAGAACCTGGGAGTTCGAGGCTGTGGTAAGCTGTGATCGTACCGCTGCACTCCAGCCTGGGTAACAGAGTGAGAGACCCTGTCTCAAAAAAAAAAAAGAAATCCAGAGCAGTTAGTACTTCATGGAATGAACGTGGACCAACTAGAAACAGGATTTAGGAAGGAGCGAGCTCCCTTCCATGGCTGGCTGGAGAGCTGGGGGTCCAGTGCACCCCCAAGGCAGCCTATAAAACATCCCGCATAGCAGGCAGAAGGTGCTCACTCACTCTCCCAGGTGAAGGTGGGCAGTAGACAGTCCTTCGCCCTGAGGCTGCTCCCCTCCCTCTGCTGCCCCCTCCCCTTCCCCCACCTCTGCTGCCCTGGGATTGCACCTCTGAAGGGACCTCAGGTTTATTTCACCTGTGTTTTCTAAGGACCCCCCTGGCTAAGATGGGGAACAACTAAACTGTCTTACCACAGGGTTCTGGTGAGGACTCATGGGATAACGTCTAGAGAGCACTTAGAACACCAGAAAGAACCAGAAATCCCAGGGAACATTCTCAGACTAAAAACCAGGCCTTCAGTTCATCCCCCACGTGAAAGGTTGCTATGAAAGGCCCAGGTGAATCTTCAGAAAAGACTTGGAAAGCGGCACACGCAGTATCACCTGCGATGTCCAGGCCCTATGCCGGCCGGCATGCCACGCACAACCAGTCGGGTCCCAGGCCTCGGAGGCCACAGCGTGCGTGAGGACGCACAAGGACCGCGCAGGCACGGGGACTTATCGTTCCAGGGGCCTGTGTTGAAAATGACCCAGACTGAGCGAAAACGGCAAAGCGGGAGGGCAGGGCTGCCTCTGACGGGCCGTGTCAAGAGCTAGTCTGAGCAGAGCCTCGGGAAGGTGGTGATGCCGTTGGTCCGAGTCCTGCCTTTCACCGAGCATTCTCCGCGGCCCCTCCTTGCGCCCCACCGGCCAGCCCGTGCCTGCACTGCGCAGGGTGGAGCACCGAGGCTTGCGGCACCGGGTTGCCAAGAGCCCTGCTGGTGGCGGTGGGCGCGCAGGCCAAGGCAGAAGAGTCCGAGATGGTTGGGATCTTCCCCTGTGGGGCCGGGTGATCGCGGGCAAGTGGCTGGAGGATGGACGGGTCTCCACAGACCGGGAGGGAGTTCTGATTTGGGCAAAGGCACAAGCCCGGGTCCTGAGGTGGGTTGTCGCCCGGCCCTCTGGGGCCTGCAGTGGTCACGAGGGGGGGTGGGGAGAGACCTAGCACGGAAAAGATGGTGGGGCCAGAGCCCAGGGGCCCCCAGCGCCATGCCAGGGTTTCCAATCTGCTGCATGCAGGGGCACCTGCCCGGGTCTCTGCACAGGTGGTGAGACGTGGCCCAGTCTCTGCTCAGGGGTCTCCTGGTGGTGACGGGAGGGCCACGATCCATGAGATAGGTGCAGAGTCCTGGGGCGTCC